AATTTTAATGCTATTTTAAGGCCCGCCCTTTCTTTTTGTGACACCCCTGGGTTCACACAAGACTGCAGTCCAAGGCGAATTCAAGGATGTCAAACCTATCATGCACCCACACAGTGCATTAACACGTTTCACCAATCATAGTAATATCCTATAGTGGAATAAAAAAAGTGTAGGTACAAAACAGGCAAAAATATGATAGTAGTGCAATGAACATGGTGAATACAGAAGAGATAGCCAAATAATAATATCATGTCTCAAATGAACAAAATAAAATATAACTGAAACGGGAATAAGTGTAATATGTCTCAACACATCGAGTCAAGTGACGTATCACTAAGCCACTCGACCTTTACAAAAATGAAATACAAACTCTAGTGTCTAAATGAAAATACAAAACTACAGTGGAGTCTCTAATGGTAAAATCATGCGACGACGACTATGCTAGAACTCCATCATCCTGCGGCTCTCTCAAACTCTGAGATATCTGAAAAGAAATTTAGAACAAAAACAAAAACAACACGAGCGTCAAAGCGCTACAGCAAGATCACCTCCTGTCACGCCCTGATTCCAAAATGTAATAGTTTGGAATGTGACTCGGCCGGCGATGCCACCATACGGTCACATTCACGCCTCTAGAACCTCATGTATACAGATATATTGCCAAATGAACTACTACATAGAGTATGTAACTAAGATAACAAAGAAATTTGATAGATAAAGAAATATCTGAAATTTTCAGAGTTCTATGACAAGTCCACAACTATCCAAAAAGAAAGGAAAAATACACCAAAATCTGGAGAGCCATATGTGGCATAAGAAAAAGCCTAAACCAAATAACTACCTAAATCAACTGAACTGGAGAACTGATAAAATGAACGGTGATCACTCCGATGAGCCTGCCCCTCAAAATACTCTCGATTCTGCGAAAAAAGAACGATTCCTGAATCTGGGACATGCATGTTAGCCCTTATGTTTTGATGATGTTTCACAACCACCATTAACGGTACTAATGGCTTATTGAGTGCAAATGTAGTAAATTCATTTATCAAGCTCGTTAGTGTCATGTATGGAGGATGGATGGAATATATGCTACAACGATGATATCCAAAGGAGGAGGAGGCATAATGATGAAGCAATGTTATTCCAAGAACAACAAATTCATATGGAAGCTTCATCAAAATTAAAGCTATATCAAGACTCAAGAACTTTATTCTATGTGAGGATATTAGCTAGTTTGTTATTTTCTCTCTAGTGCTAGAATGTAGGCAAAGAGTTACTGATTTTACTTGAAGCTATTGGGAATCACACACACGTTTTCATACTTATGTTTTTAAGCGTTTTTCACAAAATACTATTTATCACAAGTATGAGGACCTATCTACAAAATTCTTTTTCCAAACAGTTTGCTTTTAGTATTAAAAACATTTTACAAAGTTTCATAATTTTCAGAGGTCAAATAAATATTTTGCAAATATTTTAAGTTGGGTCAAAAATCAGTTTCAGCTATATATCAGAAAGCGGTCGACCGGACCGGTCGACCGCTCCTATGATCATTCGTCAGTGGTTTTCCAGAGAGGTCGTCGGTCGACCGGTGCGGTCGACCGAAATCTCAATTTTTCTATCGGTCGACCGCGCCGGTTGACCGATGATGGCTCTGCTTGTTTACTGGGTTTTCCAAGTTGTTCGCGGTCGACCGAATTTTCGGTCGATCGACCGACGTATTTTTTCGGTCGACCAAAATTTCCTTCGGTCAACCGAAATTCTCTTCGGTCAGCTGCGACTTTTTTAAAACGGTCATTTGCCTAGAACACTGTGCTTTCACTTAATCGTGTTTGGCACAGTCTGAGCTAAGGGTCTGAAAAGGAGATTATTTTCCTATTTGAGAAGATTGGGTTTTGCTTTTAAATTAATTAAATTTCTTCTATTTAAACCCTAGACTTCTTCTTCTTCCGTTGCCCTAACGTTTGCAAAAACCAGAGAGACTGCTGTCTTCCTGAGAGAATTTTCAAATCTGTTTTCTCTGTGGTTTTTGTGTGTGTTCACTTCCAAGCTTCAGTAATTCTTCTCTTTGCCATAGGGGCTGTGTAAAGAGAGAGTCTTGCATCTTTTCTTCTGCTGTGTGAGTGAGATCTTGTGTAGATCAACTGTGAGGGAGTGTGATCTGTTGAGATCAAACTGTGTAGTGAGAGATCGTGTGGGATCGCTGTGTAGACGAAGTTCCGGCTTCCAAACCGGGTGTGTAGTGGATTTCTCCTCGAGAGTGGGGAGCGGGGACGTAGGTCAGCGGGCCGAACCTCGTTAACACATCGCGCGTCAAGGATAACGATTCCTAACCCTATCTCACTTACTTTAAATTGCATTTCTGTTTTGTGGTTTGCTTGTGTTTAATTTTTATTGCATATTAGAGCCTCTTGACCCTAATCACCCCCCCTCTAGGGTCCAACAATTAGTATCAAAGCTTGGTCTCTATATCAGTTTTTGGTTTAACAACCTTAGAGAAAAGATCCAATGGAGGCTTCTTTGAATATGCATATGTTAGAAGGACAATCAACCACTAGACCACCACTCTTCACCGGGACCAATTTTGCTTATTGGAAGGCTAGGATGAGAATTTACCTCCGTTGCATTGATCTTGACATCCTAGAGCTCATAGAAAAGAAATATGTAGAGAAGTCCAAAGTTGGGAACATGACCGATGATGAAAGGCACAAAGCCAATCTCAATGCTAAGGCCATGAACGCCTTAATCTGTGGTCTTTCCCCCCCAATGAATACAATAGGGTTTCCACGTGTGCAACCGCATACGAAATTTGGGTAAAATTATGTATCACACATGAAGGAACCCCCCAAGTTAAGGAATCTAAGATTAGTGGGCTTATGCATGATTATGAACTATTCAAAATGCTTCCTAAATTTAGGTAAAATTATGTATCACACATGAAGGAACCCCCAAGTTAAGGAATCTAAGATTAGTGGGCTTATGCATGATTATGAGCTATTTAAAATGCTTCCTAATGAATCCATTGATGCTATGTTTTCCCGCTTTACTAATATCATCAATGAATTACATGGTCTAGATAAGCAATTATCCATTCAAGAGATGAACTACAAGATACTTCGCTCCTTAACTCCGGCATGGGAGCCCAAAGCTACGGCCATTGAGGAAGCTCATGACCTCACTACCTTAGCTCTTGATAGCCTCATCGGAAAGCTCAAAGTGCATGAGAAGAAGCTCAAGGGGAAGGAAAAGGAGGAAGTGCCATCACGTGAAGTTGAGGAGCCGTCACCAAAGTTGAAGACCATAGCTCTCAAAGGAGCTAGTGACAACTCATCTTCGTCATCGGATAGTGAAGTCGATTTTTCTAGAGAAGTGGCTCATCTCTCTAGAAGAATCTCTAGACTCATAAAGATGAACAAAAAATTTAACCCCCGATCTAACAACAAGTTTTCCTCTCGTGTAGGTAAATGTTTTGAATGCAATGAACCGGGTCACATCGCTAAGGATTGCCCCAAGCTCAAAGAAAAGTACATGAAGTACAAGAAGAAGAAGGCTATGTATGCCGGATGGGAAGAATCCGAACCAAGTGACTCGGAGAGTGATGAAGAAGGAGCCAAATTTGCTCTTCATGACCCAAATGTTTGTTTCATGGCAAATGAACAAGAGGTAATATCCGAGGCCGAAAGTGAATCTTTCTATATGCAATGTGACATAGCTATGGCTTTAGAAGAGTTGAACTTTGAATTTAAAAGAATGTCTAAAGAATACTCTTCTTTTAAAAAATTGCATGCCTCTTGTGATATTAAGCTAGAACAACTAACAACCTCTCTTGCTCTAAAAGATGAATTGCTAGGAGATCTCGATTTCGAGAACAAGCAATTAAGAT